GCTCGCACGTCTTCCTACTAGTTCACAACAGCATCGTAAGAGCACTGAGTGACGGGCTGTCACAGTTAGCTCTTGTGGTAGACAAAATTCACGATCTGGCCATGTCTCAAATCAATGCAGTGCACAGCCATCTCAAAATTTACTGCTTGAAGCACAAATTACACAGCTCATCTAGCTGGTGAGCGAATTGGTCGCAGTTATGCCTCATCAAAGCCGCTCAAGAGATATTAAATTCAAAAATCATAAAGAGTGCAATAGGAGTTGTTCCAGGGAACACTATAAAGAACTGGCAAACAATCAATGCTCTTATCATATGAATTTTGGCTTTGATGCTAAAAAAATTTACTCTCCCATGCTCTTTCCGCAATCAGGCAAACTAGTTCCACAATCTCATTTTTGGACCACAACTTGCGATTTTCATGTAAATCGCATTCTTTTGGTCAACTTTTCATCTAAATTGAAATTTTTAATTGACGCGGGAGCAGCCATTTCCATCCTTCTGGTTAACCTCACCAAACCATCTGCTGTGAATGAGGGTTTGGTTCTTTATGCTGCAAATGGAACCAAAAGCCCAATCTTTGGTAATCGATATAATGTGAATTTATGGCAGAAGTTCGCTTGGTCTTTCATAATCGCCAAGTCTCAGTCAAGTTAATTTATTAATACTAAAATAATATAATTGATTGTTGTCTTCACAGGAAAGTTTGCCTAAATTGTGCCTGGTTGCAGTACTTTTTAAGTGTTTTTCTGGGTTCTTTAAAGTTTGGTAAAATTTTGACTGAATATTTAAAACTTGCTAATACTTTGTATATACGCAAAGAGTGAGGGAATCGTAATGTCTTTCACCACTATTGGACGAAGAAGCCTTCGGTATTTTCTAAATCGCATAGGCTATTGCCCGAATTCCTTATGGCTGCTTGTCAAGAATTATTATCTCTTGGCACAGGGTATCATGCGTCTGTCAAAGAGTGTTCGGGCTAGCCTTCTTCATATGATTAAAACAAAATGGCGCATGGTGTCCACGCAGCAATTATCCTCGATTGAATGCCATCACTGTTCCGAACCGCTATCCTCTCCCCCATATCCAAGACTGTACCCAATTATTATATGGGTTTGGTTTATTTAATTACGGCAAAGTATACTAGGGTTATCTGCCTAAGGGGAGGGATGTCTTCGTGGAGGATTTTCTAAGGGGAGCTAGCTTGCATACACGTTACACTTGGAGAAAACCACGAAAACGCCCATACAACCAGCCCGTTCACGGGATTCGAACCTCAGCCCGAACTACCAGTGTTCAGCGACTTTACCGCTCGGCCGCTGGTGGGCCCTATTATTTTATAGAAAAGAGTATTTACAACATTAGATTTAGTTTGATTGTATCACCAGATGCCTGTCAATGCGACTGACATTGAAAAAAATTCTATGAAAATGCACTTGGTTTATTTGAATTTCATAAAATTTGTCCTCCATAATACAGGGCAAACCTGTCAGAGGTACACTGCGGGGGAAAAAAAAAGAGAGAGAGACAGAAGGGGGGGCAGTTCTTTATATCCCGTTTTAGTGGGCCGATTGAGAAAATTCAAATTGCATTTTTAATGTCTCGAAAGCGTGACTTAGGATATATATTAGATTTATACATAGCATTATTCTAACATAGGTATTTTGACACAAAATTTTATGTGATCCAATCAGAACCATTTGCTCACTGAAATGAGTCAGTTATTTTTTATGACTCACTGCTCACTACCAATAATTTTGATGAAAAAGTTCCGGAACGATGGATGATTCAAGAGCATTTAGTAATGACAGAACAAAGAGCAGAAAGAATCAAACAAGCATTTGGATCAAGACCGGTTAGTGAAATATCAGTAAAAAGTTAAAGGAATAGAGCGAGCAGGGGGATTGAAAAAAAATCAACTTACTCAAACTCCAAGCTGTAGTTTTGAGATTCCTAAAAGCTCCTTCTTCAAAACTAGCAATAAAATTCCAGAATAAAAAGTTTTCAAAAAGTTGGTAAATGATAAACATTAAACTCAGTTTTAACTTGGAAGAATGAAAATTCTTTCTACCCTAAAATGGAAAGTTGGCCTGCTTCCAACTTCCTTCCGCTCTTTTTTTACTAATCTGTTGTTCACTCAAATGTCTTTTCATATAGTATTAATAAATATTTATTACGCATCATTGAGGGGAAAAATTCCAGATAATTAATCCTCCGTAAAAATTTTATTTCAAATTTAAGGTTAAAAATGGCTGTGGCAATTCACTGTAACAAAATCCATAAACCACATTTGGCGTTATCATCGCTCAAAAAAAGGTGCCAAATTTCAAACTGCGCAAATACAGTGGATGCACAAAAATATGGAAACACCTTGTGAAATGCATGTTTGAAAAGAAAGATTGATTTTAATGAAATATGTAGGTGGCGCTGGCGTTTTTGACTACTGACACCACCTATACAACTTCGTAAATGTGCTAAACAGTTCAGTTGTTGTCTGAGTACTGTTATGTGAGGTTGTCATTGCATTATGTCAGAGTTAACAGACTTCGAACGTGGGCAAATTGTTGGAGCACGTATGGTAGGTGCTTCTGTAAGCAAGGTAGCCGAGGTGTTTAGTGTTTCAAGAGGTACTGTATCGAAGATTTATTCCGCATATTTGAAAAGCGGAAAAACATCATCTGCTAAATCACAGCGCAGACAAAAGTGTGTCCTGAGTGATCATGACAGACGATCATTAAGGGCAATTGTGACGAAAAATAAGAAGCCCCAGCTGCAAAAGTTACTGCTGAAATAAATGTTGTGTTACCGAACCCTGTGAGTACCAAAACAATTAGAAGGGGTTTCATAAACAGGGAATTGCTGGCCGTGCTGCAATTGAGAAGCCACTCATCAGTGATGCTAATGCCCGTAACAGGAAAAGGTGGTGTTTAAGTCATAAAGCCTGGACTATAGAGTAGTGGAAGCGAGTAATATGGTCTGACGAGTCTTCTTTCACATTGTTTCCCACTTCTGGCCGAGTTTACATCTGGAGAACACCATCTCAAGCCTATAATACAGACTGCTTGTTGCCAAGAGTGAAACATGGCAGGGGTTCTGTTATGGTTTGGGCAGTCATATTGTGGTTCTCTGCTAGCCCCATGATAACTGTGTCAGGGCACATGACTGCCAAGACTTATGTGAACATTTTGGCCGATCAAGTTCATCCCATGGTACAAACTTTGTTCCCCGATGGTAATGGTGTCTTCCAAGACGACAAAGCCCCTGTTCACACAGCTCACATTGTCCAGGACTGGATTTCTGAGCACGAGGAGGAGTTGTCCCATCTCCCCTGGCCACCACAGTCACCAGACCTGAATATTGTCAAACCTTTGTGGTCTACATTGGAACGGAAAGTGCGTTCTCGTTATCCACCGCCAACATCGTTATCTGAACTTGCCACCATTTTGCAGGAAGAATGGTATAATATTCCCTTGGCAAACATACAGGAACTGTATTTATCCATTCCGAGAAGACTGCAAGCTGTTTTGGATGCCAACGGGTTTCCTACACCATATTAAGCAAAGAAACATGTTTTTTTAAAGGTGTTTCCATATTTTTGTTCAACCCCTGTATGTTAATTTGTGTAAATCTTAGAACATTTTTAATAAAAAAGTCTAATTTCTTGCAGGTATGCTTAGAAATGCACCTACTTTAAGATTATGGTAAAAATAGTATAGGTTATAATTCAAAATTGTTTTCGAAAAATTTATAAAAATTATTTAAAAATACAAATTTTAAAAATAAATCACAAAAAATGGGTGAATTTTATTTGGAATAAACCTAAATTTCGAAATGTGAAGGGAAGAATAAAAAATGTTTAATAAAAAATGAGATATTAATAAATATATACCAAATTCAATTAACATTGAGGAGCTAAAATTTTGAGAGCTAATTTTTTAACAACTACTTGTGTGATTTTTACAAAACTTGGTAGTCTGTCATAATTTGAGTCATAAAATTGAAATATGGAAAAAAAAAAGGGGCATGCTATTTCAGAAAAAGTCCGATTTTGTGTCAAAATACCTGTGTTAGAATGATGCTATATATAAATCTAATATATATCCTAAGTCGCGCTTTCGAGACATGAAAATGAAATGTGAATTTTGTCAATCGGCCCAGTACAAAGGGAGATATAAAACTGTCCCACCTTTTTTTTGCACAGTGTACATAAGCCAACAATCACAGCATATCTAATATTTTAAACGGAAGTAAAGCCCATAGCTTTCTGCTGTTGGCGTATAAAGATCATAACTTTTAGTTTTTGAAGACTAAAAGTATTGGTTACACTAATTGGTACCTTAATTTCAATTTTTTAGAATTTTTCAAAATTGGACTGTATAGAAACCTTGCATATAACTTCTTCTTCCTTTCAGCTGATTGTAAAAATTGCTTATAAGCCCTGCTTTATATTATTTCAACTAAGTATACCAAATTCCTTGCACAACAGTTTAACTTCTGCTACAAGTATTAGTAATAACAATATGCCTTAATTAGACTTTTAACAGAACTATAGCCAGGAATAACTTTTATATTTATTTGTGCTAGATTTTGTATTGAATTTCTTTCTTCATGCATTGTTATAATAGGACCCTTTTATTAAAGAAGCATAAAGCTCTCCTAATTGAAGAACAAGGACCTGTTTTAGTTGCTTTAAAAATAATAATTTTACATAAATTTTTGCCAGTCTAAGTCACTCCTCTTTTACTTTTACAAGTGAAGAGAATTTGAATTTTCATTTTAAAAATGTTGACGCTGAGCTCTGTTGGCTTTAATTACCTATGGCATTCACACTAGTTAATGCAGCAACAAAAAGCATTTATCCACATTATGTGCACAAAAAATGTGCTAAATTTTAGAAGTTATTAATGTTATTTACAGGTGGTCTGAATTTTTTGCTATATATAAATAATTTGTTGCCAATTCTAAAATTATTTTTTAGACAATTAATAAATATTATTTGAATCTTGAACAGCTTTTTAATTTCAGATTTTCTTGCAACTTCCATACAACCGAAAAATTGAAAGAGAAGCTGATAATGTTGGCTTGCAATTAGCTGCCAGAGTAAGTCAAAGAATGATAATTAATTTTATAAAGGATAAGATAAAAAGGAATTTTTTTTTTTTTGTTAGTTTCATCTAGTTAACCTTTTAACATCTTCTCACTTTTTGATTAATCTTAAATTTATGTAGCATAATTTTAGTAACAAATGCAGGAAAACATGAGTAACAGAATAACTCTTAAACAAAACAGTATAGAAAATTGAGTCCTGATAGCTATCCTGAATATCAGTCATCTCCAACATTTCTAAATCAACTTTTATTATTATTTGTCTCAAAACTAAGTGCAGCAAAATCTCTTATGATGACCATCTCTGAAAGTGACCAATGTTACTCAGAACATAAACATTTCTCTAAAAAGACCACCTTCATGAATGGTTATTTTAATGAAATTACTGTATATGCAGGGGGTCATAAAAAAAAGCTTTCTTGATATAAGAACCTCTAGCTGCCAATCCATTCAACTAATTAAAATGAAATATCAGATACTATTATTATTTGAATGGCACACACTCGAGATTGTAGTGATTTAAAAAAATAGAGCTCGCACAGTTATGGATATGGTGAAAAAATTTCAAAATTTTTGAGCGGCAGTACCCACTTTTTCCGTGGCAAATTGATCAGCGCACTGAAAACCATATATGGCATTGGAATGGTACATATATGACGAAAATTGCTGATGAAAAATATTTGCAAAGAAGAGCATTGTAAAGGGCTAATGACAACACAAGAGAGGAGACACACCTTGCATAATTCACAGGGATAGACAGTAGAAGCACCAATCACAGAATACCATGTGCAAAATCTTTCATAAACAGTGTGAGAAGACTGTTTGTTCAATCAGGTGTTCGAACATGCTAACAAGATGACACTTAAACAAGAAAACAATGAAGTGAATTGATAAAGCTGTTTGATCTGAATGGGGAAAATGCTGCCAAAGTAGAGTGAAATATGTGAAATCATAAGCTAAGACAAGGCCCATGCTCCGTAAAAACTGTACATGATTTTGTAAAAAAGAAACTGGATGGACATGTGATAGACAGAGATCTGGATGACTATAGGTTCCCATTGAAGTTGTTATAGGAGAACATGATTACTGCAAAAAGTGTTGCAGTTTGGATATGCAACCTAGACATGAGCAACAGCATATCAAATCTCCGAATTTTTTCCTCATCAGATATGGTGAAGACAACAGGTGGCCACTGCAAATATTATGGATGGATGAGATGCATTTCTTCAAGTAGGTGCCCACTGCGAATATTATGGATGAATGAGGTGCATTTCTTCTTAACTAGGAATGCTTATCCAAGAGTTGCTTTTACTGGGCTGACAAAAGTCTTTAAGATGTGGCACCAGTGCCTTCACATGAAGCTAAAGTGACTGTGTGGTGCGGCATCACAATCGCATCCATTCTTGGCCTGTACTTCTTAGAAAAGGTCAATATCACAAGTATGAAAACATGCTGCATCATAAGTGCTCGGTATGTTAGAGTGTTGAAAAGTTAACATAATTCCAGAATTGCAGCAACGAAATGCCATTAAAATTGTATGGATGCAAGATGGTGTTCCTCCATATGTCTGCAGATGTGTTTCGGCAAGTGCTACATAGGAGTTTCGAGATAGAATTCTCTCTCGCAACTTTGCAGTTTTGTGGACTCTGTAATCCTTGACCTCACTGTAATGGATTTCTTGTTCTGAGTACCTGAAATCTAAGATGTGTTCATCATATCCATGAGATTTTTCAGCATTGAAAGATGCCATAAACGTGAAGTTATACAGATTCCTCCTGTGGTGTTACATTCATCGTTGTTATCAACAAACTCCTGTATGCCCAGCGTTATCATCTGGAAAGCTGGGCATGTTTAAAACTTGTAATTCTAATAAAAGGTTTTTGTTCCATTTCCTATCTTGTGTTGTCATTGGTTCTTTACAAAGCTCTTTGCAAATGTTTTACATCAGCAATTTATTTTTCCAACTCTTTATGGTTTTTCATTTCATTGATCAGTTTGTGCAGGGAAAAAAACTGAGTATTGCCATTTGAAAATTTCAAAATTTTTTCGCTCTTTTCTGTAGTTTTAAATGATTACAGTCTTGAGCACATACCTTCAAATAATAATTCCTGAAATTTCATTTTGATTGGTTGAGTGGATAGGTCATAGGTGTTCATATATTGGGATTTTTTTTATGATCATGCTGTATTTAAATGGTAAATACGTGGTTTCAGCATATTTCATACATTTCATAATATTAGTCATGTCCAGGGCTTTTCAAGTATATTATGTTCCTTATGTAGATTATGTCAATTAATATTTGCATTGTATTGAAAAATGCTTTAAAAGTGAATAAACTACCACAATAGAAACATGGAGTATTTCAATGAGTTATAAAATAGTCTTGCACTACTTTCCAGACTTAACAATATTTTTCGCTGTTGTAAAGAAACTCATTTGCATAGTATTACTAATCTGAATATTCCAAATAAGTTTTCTGAAACTGGAAACATGTGGTTATTTATGGGAATTGTTGTTAAGTTCTTTTAATTGCAAAGATAATTGCTTAAAAATATTCAGTAGTAGTATATGGAAAAGTAGACTTCTGGATTTAAACTGCAATCACCTAATTTATGTGCAACTCATAACTGTAGCAAAATAAAAATATAACCTTTCTGAGATGTTAATACATTATTTCTTTTATTGTATTGTTAAATGTGCATTCTAATAAATGTTCAGGATTCCATATAAAAACCTGGCACTGAACAATTCTGAGACAAAATCTGATTTACAAAAATTGGGAAAATGGGGTAAAACTCATTTTCATTGAAAATAGTTCATTGAAAATATAACGCTGATTTTTATTGTTTGACTTCTGAATTAGCAGAGCTTTTTGGTTTGTTGTTCTTCCTGTAGGGCAGACAATTTTTTGTTCCATTCTGTCAATAAAGCCTTTTTCAGGTCATTCCATACTGGTTGCATCATGTTCATTTTTTTTTTTTTTTTTTTTTTCTGCTCTTTCCTTATCCTTTAAGTAGTACATTGTACCCCTGTAATATGAATTTCATGTATCCCAGTTGATTTTTTACAGACTTACTGCCAAAATCTGAAGTTTTGCACACTAGTTAAAAATAAAAAAATTTTAAATGTTCTCAGGTTTCCAGAAAACCTATCAAATCAGAATAACAAATACCAAAAATCCGCCAAATCCTGAAATTCGCATTGCCTCTCAAAATATAAACATTTAGTTTATAGATTTTGGAAACCGTAACATGGAGTATAAAATATTGAAGAAAAAATACTTACTGGACAATGATGTCATAATTACCGAATAATAATGAGTCATAACAGAAATACCAAATTATTGATATCATGGTAAGAGTTTTTTCTCTCCAATCTGCATCGAAGTAAAAAGGCAGACGATTAACTCAACTCTTCTTTCAAGTTCACGCTTCACGTTGTTGTACTTTCTGAGCTTTGTTATTTCACAAGATTGTGTTTTTTTTTTTTTTTTTTTTTTTTTTTTTCTTTTTTTAAATTTTTATTTCGGATATTTTGTGGAATAAATTAAGAATGTTTTTAAATTTCAGCACTGCTTTTAATACAATGACAGATAAGAAACGCCCTCGTGATTTTCCTGCTTGCAATGTTGAAAAACGTAAACACGTTGCATTGACGGTAATGAAAAAAGTGGAAATTCTGCTAAAGATGGAGGCAGGTGATACTGCTTAATTTATAGCAGAATCGTATGCAATTGCCACATGTACTGTGTATGATATATGGAACAATAGAGAAAGGCTGTTGAAATTTTACAGCAACAGTGATTCTAACACCGGAATCCTTTACATGAGGTGAAATCGGCAAACCTCGATGCTGTCTTGTACGAATGGTTCCGGCAGCGGCGGAGTGATGGGGTACCTATTTCAGGACTACTCCTGAGAGAAAAAGGGAAGCAGATTCATGCTGATTTAAAAATAAAGGAGCTTAATGTAAATGAACAGTATAATATAATTAGTTTATATATGTAATAATAATTTAATGCATATAATTAATTATTGTATTAATGCATTTAATAATTTAATTAAATCTATCTCATATGCCTTATTATTTTGCACTTTTAGTCTGAATATTATCTTTTCTGTCCTGAAATCCGCAAAATTCTAAAATACGCACAACCTCTGGTCCCAAGCTTTGCGGATTTCTGGATTGCTACTGTACATAAAACCAAAAATAATACTAAATGTTAAAATAATATGATGAATTAGCGTGCAAAATAAATAGTGGGTAAAAAACATATACAGTCAAAAGTCGTTAATCCGGACTCGTCGGAACTTCAGCGATTCCGGATTATCGATTTTCCCAGATTATAGATCATCAGTTTAAATCGCTTACGATGGCATGCAGAAATTCTAAAATTAAAAATATGAAACCATAATTTATGAAATAAAGAACAATTATGATCTAAAGGGTATCAAAATTTACAAAAAAAAAAGCTTAATATTTATTTGTTTACTTTATTAAACATTTCTTTCAATGTAAGTTGTTTAAGTTGCTTTGTTTTATGTGATAATACTCTTTAATTCTATAAACAGACATAATTTTTTGTTCAGTTACAAAGTTCCACTGTTCAAGTCCCGTTAATTGCTGTGCCGAGAATACCGACTAACTTGTCAATCGAAATTTTTTTGCTTTCACTAACCTCTCTGTCACATTCTTCAAGTCTTTATAATACAGCCCCCCTTCCCCCGAAATTAGGATGGCAGCAAGCATTATAGATGGTATAGAGGTGGTGACAATGGCAATTATGCATTCAACTAAAATGTTGGAAATTAGATAAGGGAAAATATAGACACTTAGATCTGTATTATTAGCTAGAGATAATATTATTTTTATTTATTCATTAATATTTGTTTTTAGGCTTGTTTTGATGTGCGTGAAAGTAGTGCATTTTGGGCTAAGATGGCTGTTTTGCAGAAGTCATTTGAGAAGGTACCCAATATAGAATTCTTATCTACACATCCAAGTCATGAATCTCGCTCAAAATATCTTGATGATCTCATGGATGAAGTAAGTGTACACAAAACTGAGTAACGTCTCACTTTAGCTGATCTTATGCTTCTCACATGCACAGTAGACATTTTTGTTAATATGATAACCTTCTTTGCCTGGCGACAAATACAGACTTAAGCCATGCATAGTTAACTACTGAGGAATGTGTGCATAACAACGAGAAATTTCACAAAAATTTCTTTCCATATACAAAAAATAAATTTTGAAACAGTATTCATAGGCCAAAGTAAAGTATTTAATACTATCTGGATTAAGAAGTACTGACTTGTTATTCAGATAAGCCCAAACATGCAAGATTTCATCTACTCAGGACTTAAAAAGCATATGTAGAAATATAATTGTTTTTTTCACTCATGTTTCTGCATTGCTTTAAATTAATGCTGTAGGTTTGTGTAACATGTAATTAACCTTATTTCACATTTATTTCTAATGTATTTTTGTTTGATATCTCATCCCACATTTGCTGTTATCATTAAAGTTCCTCTTTTAAAATTTGTTTCATTTTTTGGATACTCCGTTTCCATTAGAATTGGCAATACTGGCATTTATCGTAGCCGCTTTATGGTTCCAGAACAAATTCAAAACTATTGTAGAATATAAAAAACGATTAGAGTTGAGAAAATAAAATAAAGTAGTTCTAAATACAATTATGTACGTAACATGGGATAAATCTTAGATCCATAGGATGTGGGGGAAATGTTCCAAAACTTGAAACAGTAAGTTGAGTGAAGCTCATATTTTGAGTCAGAATTTGACAGATTTCAATTCTTTAATAATTAATTGTCAAGACTCAGAGGCAGTAAAAATATACATTTATTCATAAGTAATGCATAACAGAAGCTGGAGGATGCAAAAATGACATTTTATGAGTGGAAGATGAAAAATGTAAAAATGCCATCACATGGAATCGAACCATCAATCTGAATCTCTACAATACAAAGTGCTATCCATTGCACCACTGCTTACACTGAAAGAAGTGCGATAAAGTTACCTAAAACAAAAAAGGAAATGTTCTGGCATTTAAAAATTGCACAGGACAGATGATAATGTAAACAAACAGTTATGTTGTAGAGACATTAGGTATAATTTTGGAAACAGAAAAGATGAAAAATAGCAAGCACCTTACCCGGGAATCGAACCACAGAACTCTGGAATACCGGCCCCAGCGTGCAGAACCACTACACCACGAAGGCACGCTAGGAAGGCAGGAGAAATACCTTATATACCCCCCTTTTAAAGGGCAACTAGGGTTTTTAGGAGACCCAATCACCAAATCCTGGGTGAGGAGAATCATCTTCCAACACCCTTTTAGTTTGAGTGCCAGTGTAGAGATATTAAGTATATTTTTGGAAACAGGAAAAGATTGAAAAATATCAAACGCCTTCGCCGGGAATCGAACCACGGACCTCTGGAATACCGGCCCAGCGTGCAGAACCACTACACCATGAAGGCACGCTAGGAAGGCGGGAGAAATACCTTATAATGTATATAGATCTGTGCTGCATTGAGTCTGGAAAAGTAAGCTTCTGGAATAATTTCATAGTTTAAGATTTCAGCAAAATATGTTTCAGCATTATGGTAGAAATTTTCGTTTAACGTATTGAGGTAGTCTTTAATGTAATCTATCTTTAAGTCTTTATGCAGATTTTAGTTTCTGAGAAACCAAAGAGCTCCAGTAATAAGATGAAGAAACTTATTTCACCAAATTTGTAGCTTGTTAATTTCCTTCTCCTCTCTCGTAGTGTCTTTAATCACCAGTCTAATGATGCATCACCAAAAGTGTGTAGTAGATGCCAGCGATGCATACATAACCTATGCTCAAGCGAGATGCTACTGTGAAACTGCACATCTAGCACTATAGATATTTGAATATGTGAATTTGAATATTTATGTCACTTGCATTATACAAGTATTACCCTTATCAGTGTTAAAGATAGTTATGCAAAACAACTTTTCTGAACCATGTATAATATAATGCAGCTGATATTACAACTCAATTAATTAAGTAATATTAGAGTCTTGTCAAAACAAAGAAAAAAATCTACATTAATCTTTAATATTTGAATAGTTATTAAACTTTAATTGTTTCATGAAGCCAATAAAGCATAACTAAAATATATCTGTAAGCAGTTTAGTTTTATTATTACATGGATTTTATGTTATTATTTCTCAAGAAATAAATTCTAATGAAATGTTCACAAATATTCAGTATGACCCATGAATCACACAGCAAGTGTGTCACACATCAGCATTAGATAGTCAAACTCATTCCATACTTTACATAGCATGTTACTGTCACAGAAATTAACTGCTGCTGTTATGCTTATTCTCAGCTCATCTGAAGTGTTCAGTAGAGAAGGCATGTACACCAAATATTTCATGAACCCTTCCTGTTATAAAATAAATAATAAATAAATAAAAAATCTTACTGTGCACAGAGCCTGACTAAAGCATGGGCATACAGAGCAGTTGCCCCATTTCTCCACGTCAGAGGGGGGGGGCCAATTGAAAAGAAAGTTTATTACTATAAAAATTTAAATACCTCCATAAAGTTCGATTGTTCATTATTGAGGTAGTGAAGCAGAGGGGGGGGGGTCCAAAGAAGCTTTTGCTCCGGGCCTTAATTAAGCTAAGTCGGGCCCTGACTGTGCATTCACATGCAACAAAGTTACCCAAGTGCCATATCTTGAGACCTTTTTCACCTATTCCAGCATTGAGGAATTTTTGTTCAAAAGTTTCCTCATTGACAAGTGCAAGGGCATACCATCTAGTGAGATTTTCAGATGTGAAATAGCATGCATAGATCTCTCTGTGTGAAACTAGAGAATGAAAAAAGCTTTCTTAGGCTAGCTGACCATGTTGAAGAACACTGAAGGGAATTGCCTAGTTGACTGACAGTTTGAGGAAGATGTCACTAGCGTGCATTGTTTCTGCACACTAGTGATATTTCCTGCCACCGAAACAAAACTTTTAACACTTCCTCTTTTTAACTGTAGGTATTTCATTCAAATATAGTTCAGTATTTTCAAGCTATAATGCTTTGAAACTGGATGAAAACTTTTAAAGACATGGTGTATTATCTGCTTTAAAGTAATGACTGTTTTGTGCCAAAGTAAGAATTGCTGGTTTCTTCATCCTTCAGCTTACAGGGTTTCCTACACATAAAATCACATATCCAGTGTACTTCTGCACTTTTTTTTAAAATTAGCTGCATAATCTGCATCACACAGCACTTTTTTTTAAAATTAAGTGCATAATCTGCATCACAGAAAATGTCTAATTTTTCTGTTGATGTGGAACAGTTCACTGAACATTTATAATGAAGACCCAACTTAGAGTACCTTTCAGATATCTTCGAATTTGCTTTTTTACATTTTCAATATCTTTCCTCCCTGGATTTACTGCATTTCTATTTTTAAGACTAAAAATTAAGGTAAAAGTTTACTATTGGGTGCCCCTTGTTTTTTGACGATTCTTTTTTGACGCCAAGATCAGTGCCAGGAAGGCACAATTTCAAGATGGTTGCTATACAAAACCAAAATAAGAAGTCAAAGAATTGCACAAACTCTGTGTCCATGTTCACATCGATATTTTTTCACTTAAAAAAAAATCCCAGAAATGCACAAACTAGGTATTGCGCACTGCCTTAAATTTGTCCATGTACACATCAATCTATTTTCATTTAAATAAAATCAGGAAGTTAAAACTATCATGGTAATCAGAAGTGAGATTTCATCACCAAAATTTTTAAAAAATTGCCGCTAATCGAAGGGGGCACCCAATTTCACACTAGAGCCAAAATCAAGAGTTAATTCTGAACCTGTTTTATTTGACACATATTAAAGATAAGCATGGAAAATGAATAGCATTTGATTCCATTCAGAATGAAATGTTGTTTAAAAATGTATTTTTTCACATACTTAGAATTCTTAAATATTGTAGAAAAAGAAAACATATACATATATGTATATTTATGACACAATTACGAAATGTTTACCTCCATCCATGTCAAAACCTATTGATCTTAATGGCAAGTCGCTGAATGTTTTGTTAAATAAGAGGGGTGTGTCACTGTTTCAATGGCGTGTATGGGGAAAACCAGTTCAGGTCTCTCCTCTCTTTCATACCTGCATGATATGAACCTCAGTGGGACAAGGAACTAACTTTTCAGTGCCTTTATAAGAAGGATAATAAGTTGTTTATGAGGATTCATTCTTTTTAATTCTCATATTTACAATAGATGGCATATAAGCTTTATTAACCATCAAATGTAAAATCAGTTTTAAGAAGCAGTGGTCAAAATACTTTTTAAGGCATGGCTTTTCATGTATGGGTGAAATAAAGAACAGAAGCAAAAAGTAAACTTTAAAAAGGCCATCTGTGAAGTATTGTATTATTAGCTATTAATCTAGTGTATGTAAAAACATGTTTATTTTTCTTGTACACGGTCTGAGACAAAAACACTTTTCCTTGAAAAGTAAGAAAAATTCCATGCTTCTTTATTTTCCTTTCAAACCAATTTATTACAATAAAACTGCCCCATCAGAAGGGGGAATATAAGGATATTTATTTGCAGTATAGTAAACATTTAAAAAATATTTTGATGGACAATAAAAGTCGATTCAGCCAATATAGGAGAATGGATGTTAATATTGAGTTATTACATATGTTTAGTTCCTAAATTAACCTAATAATTTTTTATAAACTAATGGCCATGAAAATTGCAACACCACGAAAGAAAGCAAATACAAAAGAGATATTTGTTGTACGTAAACAGTATGGCTTGAAGACAAAATGATTAAATTTGTAAGATGTTTGGGGTTTTACAGGACTGCTGAATTAGAAACAGCTGCCACCCTTGGCAGCTAAAATGGCCTTACCCGGTTAGGCATGAAATCGAACTGGGCTTGGATGACAGAAATGGGCAATTCATTCCATGCTGCTTCAAGTCTGCCACATCTCATAAATCGTATTAGCTGGAGAAGGGTGGCAGGCCAGTCTTTCAACAACCCATAACCAGATGTTTTTAATGGGTGACAGATCTGGAAACCATGCATGCCAGGGCAGCAATTTAATGTGTATCGAGGAAGGTCAGAATATGACATACAACATGTGGTCTTGCATTATCTTGCTGAAAGATGGCTTTTGGCAGGCCTGGAAGATAGGCTGCAACCACTGGACGTAAGATATCAGAAATGTACCGATTTGTGCTCACATTACCATCGATTCGAAACAGAGATATGTGAGTCATGTACCCAGTCGCTTCCCAAACTATCACACCAGGTTCAGGGCCCCTATGCCTATACTGAATGCAAGCAGGCAACACACAGTCTCCTAGGAGCCTTTAGCCATGTATATGGCCATCAGAATACTGCACACAGAACTGGGACTCGTCCGAAAAGATGACATTGTGCCACTCCTGTATCCAGTCCTTTGGCACACCAGAGTTGTCGTTTCTCTCTATGTTGCATTGTCAAGGGAAGCCAAAGTAGTGGTTGCCGTGCTAATAGTCCATGCTGTTGCAAACAGCAATGCACCATGCAAGTGGATACTGAGCGTGCTGCAAACATGCCGATTTTCCTGACTAATGGTCTGTGATGTGGTTGTACGATTTTGCAGGCCTGATATGTCTGTTCTCTTGGGTCTTAGTCATGGAAAGGTGTTGAGATCCTGCATGTCATTCAGTATGACCCTCAGCAACCCATTGATTCCATATTTGCATGACAATGGTTAGATGTTGAGCAGTGCGACAGCGATATCGCAGACCTATAATCCACACTCTCAATAGGCAACAATCCTGCCTCTATCAAATTCTGACACTTGCTGGTAAGCATTTCTTATTCTTATTCGAGGCATAACATGATATTCTGAGCAAACTGTGATTTTACAAAGCGCTATCTGAATGAGAAATCCACTACACAACTTTCTTTTACATGGTGCTTCACATGTCATTTCTCCCTCCTGTGTCATCTGCATGTGCTGAAATACTAATCATTTCCATATCCCAACCTCTTTTTCCTATCAGGTGATTTTGATGTTCGTCAGATTATTTCTTCCTGGCATTGTAATTTTAATGGCCAGCAGTATATAAAGCATATCCTAATAGTGTGATAAATTTTGTTTAGTTTTCTTGTATTCTTATTGAACAATAAAAATCGGATATTAAGAAAGTAATAAAAGGGAGATAATTTTAAAAATTCAAAATTAATGCATTGTTATATAAACCTGGAAAAAACATTGAAATGAAATGGATAAAGCATAGATCTGTATTAGGCAGTTGACATACTTTTTTCAAAATTTTATGTTATCAAATAAACTATAAAAATTTTATTTCTCCTATAAAATTTGTGTTCTGCTATATTATCTTTTTTTAAAGACTACTTATTTAAAGCTTAGTAAAATGTTTTAACATTTATATTTGATTCAATTTTAATTCTGAATTAAGAGTACTTTTGATATTAACAACTATTTTTATGAAAATACTCTTCATATATCCATATGTATATTATTACTGTTGTTCCTATACAACTAACATATTACTTTGTTGGAGAATCTATGCATTTTAAAGTGTATACATAATGTAGCAGTTCTTATTTTGCAGGCAATAAAATTACGCAGCTCCTGTGGATGTCCTCTGCTTGGATATAGAGATCCGAGGAAAGAAGTTGAAGCTGCTGCTCATAGGTTAGAACTCATTAGAAAAGAACTATTTAAGAATGACCCTAAACCCGTGAAAATCTTTCAAATTTGACTCCTTTAATGGAAGGTTATTTATATCTCTTCTCCTACACCAAGAATAAAATTTCAATTTAGTTTTTATTTCTTTTGATTTTTTAATCAGATACATGATTGTCCATTAACATTTTTAAAAACTAATTGTTTAACTGAAAAAGAAGAGTGGGACATAAATATCAGCATAAAAATTATCATGTATTAAAAATTTTATATATGTGTTTAATTAGAATTTTGACATCCATTTTGAAAATATACAGAAAATTTTTTATCTTTTTTGATATATAAGATTGTTAAAAAAATAATTCTTTATAACAAAAATAACAATTATGAATATTTCTGGTTATCAATAAATTCACAAAATAAAATATGCTTGAATATAGGCATATTCTGTAATTAGTGACCTGAGTGCCAATGATGTGTAAGTGGTCCTACAATTATAAAACACCAAATTAAGGAATCTAATTTTATTTAATCAGGAGTAGTAATTTTAAAGTATGCTGAGGAGCCAAAACATTATGACTACTTACTCAATAAGATATTGCTCGATCTCTGGCTTGCAAAACAGCTGCAGCTCGCCTTGGTATGGATGCCACAAGTTCTTGGTAGGTGACTGGAGACAGAATGTCTAAGCAGCGGTCAAGCAAAGTCGAGATATTCCGACATGGTGGTGTTTGAGCTCTGAGCTGCCTCTCCATCCAAAGTATGCTCTATCGGGTTAAGATCCAGCGAGTTAGGTGGTCAAGACATTAATTATAATTCATCCTTATGCTGCTCGAACTACTCCAACACAATTTGAGCCTTGTGCCATGGGGCATTGTTCTGCTGGAAGATTCCGTTTCCAGTTGGGATGACAGACACCATATAAGAATGCCACTGGTCTGAAATTATGTTCAAATAGTACATAGCTTTCATGGTCTATTCTATCACAACTAAGGGTCCCAGAGCCCCCCCCCCATCAGAATGTACTTCAAAATGTAATACCACCACCACCAGCCTGTGTATGACCTGCTGTACGGGGAAAGGGGGACGGCAACTGTTTGCCTTGAAGATGGCATACCCTGACACGACCATCGACATAGTGAATAAAAAATCATAATTCATCTGACCAGGCAGCTGTCTTCCACTTATCCATTATCCAGGCTTGATGTTCCCCGGCCACTGTAGTTGTAGCTGACAATGATGCTTAGGCCCCGTTCAGACGAGGGCGTAAAGGACATAAGTGGTTAAAGCCGAGCTCCGTTGCCAAGGCAACCAGTCACTGCTACGTCACAGAATCTGGTTTAGGGCTCGTGGCACAAGGTTCCAAGGTTCAACTTTACGCCCGAGTTTTGGATAACCGTCGACCAAGAGTGAGCTAAAACGAACCGGCTTTTTAAGACGATTTCGCTCACCTCGAAGGCGACGTTTTTTTTTTTAATATGGAACAATCGTATCGGATAGTTGTAATCGTATCCGAACAAAATAATGAGTTGTAATCGTATCCGAACAAAATAAATTTGTAATCATATCCGAACGAAATAGAGTTGATCTCGCAAGAAATCTACGATGATGACATGCATTTTTTAAAGTTAAGCTCAGGATTTGCACGCTGTGTATGAATCCGTAGATGATTGATCCCTTCCAATATTTTTCATTTTATTATGAAAATTCTTAAAAAAAGATGCTTGCAAAAATTTTATTTTTTCTGTGTAAATTATTATTATTACTTTCTTTCTGCTATAATTTTTTTTAAATTATTACTGTAATTTTTTTCCTGTTAATATTTTGTATTTAAGAAAAATTTATTAAAAAAGCTTGGAAATATTGTATTGGTATTTGCTTCAAATGCTGATTTTCTTTTCAAACAAACTTCATGAATTAATTTTACTAAAATCAAATCAGTATCAAGAATCTGCTGTTTTTTTTAACAGTAAAAATATTACTTAAAAATTATTTTCACTTATTTAAAGAATAGTCACAATAGTCAATTCAATAGTGTAAGCTTTGTATAAGTAATAAAAGATTAATCTTTTGAGAAAAAAGCTCTTATGAATTCCAAGAAAGGAAAGATGTAGTGAAATATCCTTAAAACAGCAGTCAACAGTCTAGACAGTTTTGTCTCCTGTTCAAGTGCAGTTTTGTCTGTTCTGTTTTTTAATTACGTTCTCCATGAAAGGAATTTACTTTAATGAAACTAAATAGCACACATAATTCATAACATGGCTATAATTTAATGAATAGATTTGTTATTATTAACCACTCTTTATTACTTATCATTTTGAATGGAGTTTTGATCATTAAATTATGCTATTTCTCTGGTGAAATTCCTGGATAAGGTATGAATGTTTATAATTTTGATGTATTTGAAGACTGGGTACCTAAAATTTGTCAAATGTGAAATTACTTTTGAGATTTGGTCGTAAATAGAAATGACAGCATATCTTGAAATTAAATTCAGGGGTGTGGCTTATACATGCAAATTATTAAAAATAGATGTATACAAACAGCTGGCAAGACAGCAAAATGTATTTAATGATTGAGCATAAAATACATGTTGGGTGAACGTTTCCTAGTTTTGTACTAGTTGTGTTTGCTGGTCATTGTGACCAGTTGTGGGATACTAGTTACTAGTGATAATTGATACTGGTAGTGCAGCAACTACTATAGTGATCGACAGGGACAGTGAATAAGGAGTGCTAAGCACACATGTTTCACTGTCACAGAAACATGTTCCTTTTGATTGAAAATAATAATAATAATAATAATAATAATGTATGGTAAGTACTGATTTAGCTTAACTGCTTTCACACCTGCAAAATAGAAAAATATTATATACAGGCTATCTGTTAGTTATCCTCAAGATTTTTTTTTTTAAATTAGGCATATTTAGAATATCGTATTTCTCCTAAGAGAAATTATGTATAAAAATTGAAGAAGGTTTTATGTAGTATATAAGGACATAAGTGGTTATGCATGTGCATGTTTATAGTATAGAGAGTACTACAGTACAATGCAGAAATATTCCATACTGCTTTGTACAGAAAGATATGTGCCAAAGTATTGGTCTTTCAAAAAAATATCTCTAGACCATTTTGTTATTTTTCTTTTTTTACCTTCTCCCATTGCCTCTGCAGATAAAAGATCATTCTGTTGAGCTGGTAAAACTTTGTGGCGAGTTGAAAAAGCCATGACACAACAAAAAAAAAACAAGCAGAGCGAACGCGGGAAATCAATCGAGCGGGAGAACAGCGTTGTAGACATTCCACGCACGCGCAAATTTAGCTTCTCTCATTTGGCTACACCTCGTTTTTGCAGGTGTGAACGGGTCTCCCGTATTTTATGCCCTTATGACTATGCCTCTATGTGCTTTACGCCCACGTCTGAACGCACCTTTAGTCAACAGAGGTACACGAGCGAGATGTCTGTTGTGCAGTCCCATATCCAACAGTGTCTGCTGAACCGTGTGTTCTGAAACACCTTGCACCTGGACCTGCATTGTATTGGGCTGTCAGGTGATCTACCATCAGGCACTGATTTTGCTGTGCCAAGCAGGACAGACTCCGACATCCTTTTTCTTTGATGACGCTTGTCCGTCCAACACCTTGACATTTACTACTGGTTTCACTGTCATTTATCCACTTTGCATAAATATTAACAATGGCAGATCATGAACAACGAGTTACTATGCAGTTTCGGAGGTACTTGTTTTGAATCTTTCGGCCATTACAATCTGCCCTCTATCAAATTCCCTTGGATCAGCAACCTTTCCCAGCACTCTCAATAGATAAGTGCAAGAATGATTCTTTACCTTCTGCAGCAGAAGTTAAATATCATTCCTACTTATAATGTACCCTCCACGTCATAAAGACGAGTTCATTGAAAAATGTAAGGATGGTCATAATGTTTTGGCTTGTCAGTGTATAATATTAAGCATAGATATTGCAAAAATTAGTCATGACCATTTATCACACATAAGAAATTCAACTATCACTTTCAAAGTTCTTTTATTTGTCCATATAATTATGTTATTATATAATTTTATAGTTGCAGTAGGTCAAACAGTCAAAAAGCTCACTAGGAAGACAATCAAATTATATTCAAAACAGTGTAAGGCTTTAAAAATGATGTAAACACAAAATTAGTTGGTTCTCAATGACTGATTAAAACATCTATTTTTGAGAAGCTGTACAAGTTGAACAGCAACCTTCAACCTAACAGTATGTTGCACATAAGTAGTTTTGCTGTTGATGACTATGGCATTCTCTATTTGTCAAGGAGAAAAAACATTCTGTTTGGGAAAGTTAGTTGAGCTAACAAAGATCAGAAAAATGTATATTGATCTGATGAATTTTACCTGCTACTGCATGATTCTGATGGTAATATAAGCTCATCAATAGTAAGAAGTTATGAATCAACTGTATATGGCACAATTCCCCTTTGTGGAGACAGTAGTTCTATGATATAGAAAATAGTTTGCCGATACTTGGGCCTCTGTGATTATAAACCAACCCATTATTTCTCTGATTTGTTGTGATGTTATGAGAGTCCATATGCACTGCTTTTAAGGTGACAGTCATATGCTCCAGAATGATAGTAATGCCACTTACTATAGCCTGTTATTTTAAAATAGGAACTTCAAGGTTATTTTCTGCCACCTGAATTGACTTGTAACCATGGGAACAACAGCTACAGAGGGGAAAAATTAAGTGAACTGTTGAATCACTTTTTCTCTCACTTTATTAGCATGTTTTCCTTCACAAAAGCATGAGACTTTTCTACCATGAAACTTTTCAACTAAAAAAGTTCAGATATATTTATTAAATTTTTGGGTTAATTTTTCTGAGTTGTGATAAAATTTACTGTATTTTTTTTTTTTTTTTAATTTGGCAACAAATGTGCTAATTATAAAGTCTGTATTGTAAGATCATGATGATCAAATTCAATGATTCTCAACCGGTGGTATGCAAGAGAAAAATAGGTGGTACGCAAAGAAACAAAGTATTCTTTACTATTAAATTCAAAAATGAAATACCCCAACATCCTGTTTAATTTTTTCCCTCTAACACTTAAACTTTTGCGATCTGAGCTTTGTTCAAAGTAAATAGCCGCTCATAGACTTCCTAAATAATCCATAGCAAAATAATCTGTTTTTAGTTTCACAAATATTCTTTTAGCCATAGACATAACAAAATTTGTCATAAATGATGATTTTAAAAGGAGTAATGGAAATGGATGTTGTATTTTATAGGAAGTAAAAATAAATTCCTATAAAAAGATTATTATATTAGTATCTAATTACTACTTTAAAATTGATCGATTTATTAGCGTGTCTACGCTTTATATCGCCACCATTTTTGCACTCGTAGTGCTCTGTTTTCAATTAGAATAATTTTTTATGTCGACTTGCAGATATTTTGTTGCTTTGTATTCCTTACATTTCTACGCAATCTGAGAATACCGTTGTTTGTTTTTGTAGAGCTCATAATATATTGTGCATTTAAATATTTTTGAAAAAATAACAAAACAAACCTAGATTTTCAAAATGGAAAAATTGCTAGAACTGACTAAGCGGAAACTGATGATTCACAGGTGATGTATTCAGGACAATCTTCTAGCCATAAGAATAGAGAAAAGAAAAGAAAAGAAAAATTGTTTATAGAATTTTTGGGGGGGGGCAGATTGTGAACAATTACAAATGTAACCCAGTCCATTAATCTATACACGGCCGATGTGGTGGTCTCTTTATTATGGAGGCACCCAATAGGTGGGCCACCATCGCCTTTCCTCTGAAGGGACGGACAGTTACAACCATGCCTTCTCCAATATTCGAACCCAGGCCCTTCAGCATCGCAGTCAGCTTCCCTGACCACTATACTGACTGGGCGGCTATTTATAGAAAATGTAATGAAAGTTATTTATCATTTGGATTTACTTGGAACGGAGATGAAATGGACCCTCAACCTCAATGTGTTGTTTGCAGTGAACTATTATTCAGTCAAGGTATGAAACCATTATTTCTTAAAAGACATCTTGAATCCAAGCATATCAATTTAAATAATAAATCTGAAGAACATTTTAAGAGGAAATTATCACAGTTCAAAAATAGTAAACAAGTAATGAGAAGTTTTCATTACTTCAAATTAAAAAGCTTTGGAAGCTAATTACCTAGTAAGTCTAAGAATTGCCAGGACTGGTCAGGTTCATACTATTGGAGGAAATGTTATATTATCAGCAGCTAAATATATCATTTTAACATATTCAACAAAAAGTGGCTACTGAACTTTTGTTCAAATGGCACCTGAAATTTTATCTCGTGAAGAAAAAGAACAATTCGTAGAAATTTCCTGTAATCGAATTCTAACTGAAGATTTCAAGAATAACACACTTGTTAACATTTGGCTGAACTGAAGAAAATAATTTAAAGGCATTTCAAATAAAACTATAAAAAATTTATTGCCTTTTTGCACAATCTATATGTGTGAAGAAGGATTTTCATCCATGTTATATTAGAAAACTAAATACAGAACAAAATTAAAAGTGGATATTAATTTACGGTTAAAACTAAGTGAAGTAAGACTAGATATATAAAAAAAAAAAAAAAAAAAAGTGATCCTCTTAAACAGGTTTAAATTTCACACTAAATTTCAGAATTAAAGCATTATAACTTACATTTTGATAATTAAAATGGTAACCAATTTTTAATCTAATATTTTTTTTACGTGTGCACATTTAGTACAAATAATCAACAGGTTGTGTAAAAGGCAAATATATATATATATATATATATATATATATATATATAGTATATATTTTAAATATTTCTGTTGAGAAATTGAAAAATAATCATCGTAAAATGTAGTGGTGGTACTGAAGTTTTTCAATTTTATTTAGACGGTACGTATTAGTCAAAAGGTTGAGAACAACTGATCTAATTATATGTTATGAGCTTTTCTGAATTATGACCTAAAATGGGGAAAACCATACCTATGTATTTCTATATAAATAAGTCAAAAAAGATTTTTCTTGATGAGGTTTGTATTTTTTTTTTTTTTTTTTTTTTTTTTTACTCTTCTGAAAAAAAGTTTTCAACACAATTCTAATATGAAATATTTATTTATATATGAAACAGGAATAAAGTTTTTCATTAAAAAACTCACAATATATTTGATTTTCAACATTTCGTACATTATAATTATACATACAAACAGATAAGGCACTAAGAGAAACTTCAAATAGAAATTTCTGAAGTTTGTGAATTTGTTCTATTAGTAAAATTAAGAATGAAAACATTTCAATATATTCTAAAGAATTAAAAATTAGAAAAAATCATAAAATTTTGAATTATGGCTTTATATAAATATTTTACATAAAAATATCTTATAGAACACTATAAAACAATGGCCTTAAATACTTGTCAGTGTCATCCAACGAGAAATTAAGATGAAATTTGATGGATGATTGATGCACAGTTTAGTGTAGTATATTTATTCTCAGTCCAGTTATGTTTTTAACTTCATGATTTCTTCACTCTACTGTTTCATCTTGTTTTTTCACTTTGACTATAGTTGCATATGGCGATTCTTCCTCCTCCTCCTCCTCCTCCTAAAAAGCAATAACCGAAAAGTTAATATAGTGCAATATGCAAGACACAGAGCAATATTCTGAAACAAAGTAATATCCAGAAGAAGACAAAAGCATTTGCAATTTTAGTAAAATTTTAATATTTTGAATTCTGTACATAAATGATTTTTTAACTATATTTCTCGTAATATATTTACAAGATATTTTTAGAGATTATATATTTAAGAACCAGCTATGTCTTTATGGTATGGGCAGTTAAGACTGTTGAGTCCTCTGTAGAGACTGGTGATAGGAGAAGAGGGTAAAAAATCCTTGGCCCCATTACCCAGGGTGTTCTCTATCAAAATTGGAACAGATCTTCTCTTTCATAAGTATAATTCATTCCTTCTCTGTGGTACATCATCAACACTGTTCTTGATGATGAAATCCTAAATGATGGATAGGTTTGTCCATTCCTGAAGAATATATAAGTGTTTGGCCATTTGGAAAAGCAACGGATTCACAAAATAAAGAAATTAATTAAAATTTTTTGCTGTCAATCATTTTGCTTAAAACAGTATGGCAACATTAAGGAAGTTTTAAATGAAATGATGATACTTTCTTAAATCATGCTTCAGATTTCTGAATATGTTATCCTATATTAAGAACTGTTAATATTTTTATACAGTTTATTATAATATATTCATATATTTGATAAATTACTGTTCTACCGGATCTGAACGTGCTTAAATTTTATCTTTTTTAAATTAGATGTATTCACTATCTTATTGATACTGCTGTCACAAACACCATTTTTGTGAATAATGTTGTATCTCTATAGATTATTGGTATATATTTTTATGTAAAGGTTCAAAAGTCTGTTTAGCTTCACAGAAATAAATTATGTATTATTTTTTCACCTTTGAAAGTTTAGTAATTCAGTACTTTTCAAAAAAGCATACCGTATTTACAGTTTCAGGACCAAATTCATAAAAATTAAGATTTTCAAAAATACATATAATCACAAATATGTAACTGTACATTGTATAATTTCAAATGTGGGAAATTTACATAAACAAAGATCATGATGAAGTATGCTAATCATCAAAATTACACAACAAGCTTCTATTTTCTATAACTGGTATGAGGCAAATTCAGTCAAGCAGATGATAAGAAGCTTCATACTTATTTACCATGCAAGTCATTTCTACAAGTAAAATTTCTGTTTCTTTTTGATAGTCAGTTATGTGAACTACACAGTGTCTGTTTTTGCAAGTAGTATATGCACCTATGGACTTACAAAAGAATGGATAGTTGGCCTACTCAAGGCTGGCTGGAATATTTAGGTAAGACAACATTATGTTCCAGCAGTGCATTCAGTAGTAAAGAGAAAAGTGTACTCACAACTGTTACGATGTGTCTGGAATACGCAGGATAAATACTCAGCTTAATGATCATACAACTGTTATAATGTGTCTGGAATATGCAGGATAAATACTCAGCATAATGATCATATTTGATAAAAATTTTAGTTATTCCTATGGCTAGTCTTTTGACTTTTAGATGCTATTTCTCATCCTATCTCTGTGTGAGTGATTTCCAGCTGCCTTGTAGAAGCAAGTGGTTGGGAATATTTGCACATCATCTATTCTACTGCCTACCATTGTCACCTGCACTTTAGATTAGTACTTTAATTTAGAGTGTACAGTGGCATCTGGTTTAGCTCCAATGATGGATGGATATATGTAAATAGAATAATTATATCAAATATATTAACCAACATTAAAGGTGGAGTACAAAGCATGACGGTTTAGTAAGTCATTTAGAGATGCCAGTTAGTCTCTTTTATTACAGCAGCTGATTGGCATGCTCAGGGCTGGCACAAGAGCTGGTGCAATTGCTGCTGCTGCATCAGGTGGCAAAATTTTAGAATTTTAAGCCCTGAACAACAAAATCTAAGAATAGCAATTTCTTTTTTTAATTCAGGGGAGGTTATGGGCAGCAAAAATTAGGAGGGAGGAATTTTTCAGAATTTAAGCAGACACCTGGCAGCACAATTTAGGATCTGCAAAGATTGCACAGAGTGGTAAAATGCTTAGCACCAAGCCCTGGGCATGCACACATGGTTTTTGAATCTGTAGCATTCCACTTCATACACATAAAATACTTCGTTCATCAAAATGTTTTAATTAAGAGAAGCAAAAGACACCAGGTAGCAGAAGTTTGTGGTGGCAAAATTATACGGAGCCACTGGGTAGCAGAAATGAGAATGTTCAAAAGCTGTACCAGATGACTAATGCTGCCCCTGGCTGGGCATTACATGTTCCAAGCTCAGCAAACATCTCCTAAGTATACCTATGAGGTATCACCATGTCATTATAATTTATCAAATCATCTGATTTGTCATCAACTAACAGATCTTCAAACAATTGCAAATCTCTTTAAATAGGTTGAGCTAGAATAGCAAACAAATGGAAATAAGATAAAGCTATTTTATATTGATATGCTGAAACCATATTTTCATTGTGTCAATCTAGAATATTTTACCTTATTTTTAAATTCCTTTTAACTAGCACATATGCTAGTTATTCTTCAATATGGCAAGATTATTCTAGTACACTGCATGACACTTTCGATGCCATGTTAAAGGAATGCATTGCTAAAAAAGATGGAACCACTTTGAATTAGTTTGACAATCTACATCTTTTTTTAAATAATGTATATTTTTTTGCTTTGAAAATTATCTTATTTGTGTGCATAAATTTATGAAAAATCTCATTACCTCTTAGTGCTAAAATTTTTATTTTGTTCAGAGTTCATTTCTTCTAATGCTTGTAATATAGAGATATGGAGATATTTTTTATCTTTCTGTCACTGGAAGATTGCTTTTAACCATTCTTTTAAAAAAGTAGTTCTTGTGTAAATTTATACACAAAAGTGAGGGTGAATTTGATAATGACTAATTTATAGTAATAATTCTTGCCAGTACTTTTTAAAAGGAGAAAAATGCTTTCGTACAGTAATTAATTTTTAAACAGTGTACCTTTAACCAGGAGGGACTGCAGCTTACTGCCTACCAAACTAAAATTATGTCACATGTTTATTAATTAAGCATTCATACAATTAAATATGATTTTTATAATAATCAATTAAAATTCAATATAAATATATTATGAATTAATTTGCATACCTTCATAGTAAAAAAGGCCAACATCCATTTTGCAGATTTTGAAGAAAAGAAAAAAAAAGGAGGAGGCTGTTTTTGATAAGTTTTTTAATTATGTGTAGAATTCATAAAATGTTTTCATAGGAATTAATTTTATTTTGATAAATAAAAAGGCATGTAATTATTTCTTACCTATAATACATTTATCAATGAAACTATTATTATAATATCTCCTTCATCTGAATATACCATAGCAACCTCTTAAGCATGAGTTTAATTTAGAATGCAATACTAGAAGGATACTGGACCATTCTTTTTGATAAAATGCAGGATTTTAATCAGAGCAGTACACCAAAAATTTTTTTCAAGCATTAGCTTTTTTTTTTTCTTACTGTGGTACAGTTTTAATCTACTACTGATGGCCATGTCTGTTTGAGGCCAGGACTAGTGGAAATTATTTCATACAATACAAAGTCCGTAATCCGGACGTCCATTATTATCCGGAATGATATATAATTCGGACCTCAAAGCCACAAACTTACGCATGCACATTTAATGCGCGTAAAGCGTTTACCCATGCGCGCTTCCGATAGTGAAGAAAGTGACAGAGAAACAAAATTATTGAAAACGAAAAAATTTAGATTGATAAGTTAGTCAGTATTCTCGACACAGCAATTACAGGACTTGAACAGTGGAACTTTGTAACTGAACAAGAAATTAAGTCTGCTTATGGAATTAAAGAGAAAGTATTAGAACAAAAAACGAAGCAACTTAAATAACTTACATTGAAAGAAATGTTCAATAAAGTAAATAAATAAATATTAAGCTTTTTTTTTTTGTAAATTTTGATACCCTTTAAATCATAATTGCTCTTTATTTAATAAATTACGGTTTCATATTTTTAATTGTATAATTTCTGCATGCCATCTTACCAGATTTAAATTGATGACCTATAATCCGGAAAAACCCCTAGTCCGAATCGCCGAAGTCCCGACGAGTCCTGATTACGGACTTTGTACTGTGTTATCCACAATACCAAAAATGATGACAACGTGTTTTAACAAAAGTTTCCCACCACCGCAAATATTGTCTGCACAAACAGTTCTTATTGCTATATTTAATCATTTTGTCTAATGATTTTTGGCATTTGAAAGAAAGACGACCTGCTTTAGAACATTGTGTTGTGAAATTTGTAAAACTAATGTTGTTATCATTAAGTACAAGGTGCATGAAATGGAACTATCATGCTTCCAGATTAGAACCATCATTTATTTTCAGTTCTGTTGTAAAAAGTCAGCTACAGAATGTCAACAAATCATGTGTACAGCTTTAGGTATAATGTTGTATCATATGACACTGTGAAGATTTGAAACCGAAAGCTGATAAACAAGACTATAGCATTCAAGAAGCAGAGCGCTCTGGCCAGCCTACTGATGTTGATGAGACCTGCCTGCGAGAATTTGTGGAAGAAGATCAATATGCAACCACTCGAGAGTTTTCTAAAGAGTTACACATTAGTGGCCTGTTCATTAGTTGCACTATGCATCGCATAAACTTGACGTACAAGTTCAATTACTCAAGCAGATAAGGACAGACGTGTTCAGGCCTGCACTAATCTGCTCAAACATCAACACAAGGATAAAATTTTGGACTGGATTGTCATGTGTGATAAAAAGTAGATTTACTTCAACAACACAGGCTAAAAACAGGGGTTGATCTAAGTCCGCTGAGCCCGTTTGCAGCGTCACAAAGTGTAATTTGACTAACAAAAAGATCATGCTTTGTATCTGGTGGGATTGTCGTGGATTGATCCACAAAGAATATCTAGAAAAAGGTAAAACCATCAACAGGTGTACAGCGAGATGCTACTCTGTGTTGATGCTGCTATCCCGGAAAAACTTCAAAGTGAGCTCTGGGCAAAAAAGTAATGTTCCATCAAGATAATACATGTGTCAGCATTCACCAGCTGGACTCTGTACGGACTTGAATGGGATATTTTGACACACCCACTGTATAGCCCCGCCATCGTTCCTTCGGATTCTTCGAACCTTTTTTCACACCTTCAGCTACATCTTGCGGGTGCTATATTTCATTCTGCACAGGATGTCCAAAATGAAGTTGATCTGTTTTTGGGCTCATGGCCACCATGTTGTTGGGCTGAAGTCTCTGAAAAACTACTGAAACATTGGCAGAAAACTATAGATTTGGGTGGTGATTACTACCCACACTTAAGGTACTGCTTTCATGTATTATCCGGACTTTATTAAAAAGTTTTTTTTTTTTTTTTTTTTTAGAAAACTTTCGTTACAGTCAGAGAGTACCATTACCTATTTATTTGAATGATGTTGATGGATGCAAGTTTTCTTATAACATATTGTCAACGCTTGGTAGTGTTACTTTTAGGAATATTCATATAGACTATATGTACATTTATGCTGATAGTTATTTATTATTTTAAAAACTTGCACAATAAGCATCATCAACACTGAATTACTAGTGATTGGGAGAGAGCTCCATAGTTAGACAATATAAATATATTTTGTTTCCATATCTGCACAATAATTTTGCATGGAATATTTTTACTCAGTCATGTAGCACCCGCAAGATGTAGCTGAAGGTGTGAAAAAAAGTTTGAAGAATCCGAAGGAACGATGGCGGGGCTATACAGTGGGTGTGTCAAAATATTGATTTGATGCCAAAAGGGCCAACTTTACATTAAGCTGTAATTGAGTATTAAATAATTGAGTAATACAAAATAATACTTTGTTTATAAAGTTAGAGAACTGATTATTAACAGTTAAGGTTAGTGAGATCAATAATAGACTTATTTTACAGATATCAGCTGGTATCCATAAAAGGTTGCATTCAGTTTGATCCATATAGTTTCACTGATATAAAATATGTTAAAAAAATAATAATGAATAAATTTAAAATGTGTATTAGCATTCAAGTAATATGTTGGATCATTTCAGTGTTATAATTCCATTCATTTTTTAAGATAACTCTCTCATTTCCAAAATGAATAATTTCCTTTTGAGGAAGGTAGATCGTACCAATTTATAACCTAAAATAATATACAATAAAAGTCTAAAATAGCGAGCTATACAATAGTTTGGTACGTATTTTCACCGACATTCCAACTATAAGATGGTATTACTAGCATTTCATTTGGCAACATTTGGAAGTCTTGGCCATTTTCAGTGAGTCTTTTGCTCAGTCTTTGCATTTATATATTATTTTTGTTTTTTCCTTCTTTTCATTTATTTAGAATATTTTCAAACTTGGTAAAAATGTTGATAAAAGAATAAAGATGGAAAACATGGCTTAATACACCAGTAGTTAGTTATAGTTCAAAACTTTAAATGCTAATTTAGGCATTTCAAATTCAGTTCAATAAAAGATGCAATTTTCAGCTTGGAGGCATTTAAGCAATACAGTCAAAAGTCGTTAATTCGGACACCCATAATTCGGAATGATCTATAATCTGGACCTCAAAGCTAAAAACTTTCTGTGCATGCGCCGCGTTGACACATGCGCATAGGCGTTTACGCGTGCGCGTAAGACCTCTTACGACTGCGCATTTGCGTGTGCGCAAGCGCAGAATACGTTTTTGCGTGCACGTTTTATGTATAACGGACGGTGTAAGCTAAAATTATCTAATTATCTATTTCAGTTAATGTTGATGATTGCATTGTTCCTTAATTTTCGAATTGGATCCGGCTTATTATTTTTTGCAGACTATAAGAGCAATACTATAAAAGTAAACTTGAACTTTCGATTATGTCAAATAGAATTTTTGATTCTGGAGCTCCCAAAGGATCGTACAAAACAAAAGTATGTTTCGATGTCCATCAAACAAAAAAGTGGAATTGCTGCAAAAAATGGATAAAGATATGAAGAATGTGACAGAGAGGTTAGTGAAAACGAAAAAATTTTGATTGACAAGTTAGTCGGTATTCTCGGCACAGCAATTAACGGGACTTGAACAGCGGAACTTTGTAAGTGAACAAAAAATTATGTCTGTTTATAGAATTAAAGAGAAAGTATTATCACATAAAACGAAGCAACTTAAACAACTTACATTGAAAGAAATGTTTAATAAAGTAAACAAATAAATATTAAGCTTTTTTTTGTAAATTTTGATACACTTTAGATCATAATTGTTCTTTATTTCATAAATTACGGTTTCATATTTTTAATTTTATAATTTCTGCATGCCATCTTACCAGATTTAAACTGATGATCTATAATCCGGAATCGCCGAAGTCCCGACGAGTCCGGATTAACGACTTTTGACTGTATAATATTGTAAAAAGCTTTGTCTAAACTGTTGCCAAATGCCACAAAGCAAAATTCTGTCAGAAGGTCGCCAATAATTCAACAGTCTGTCTTCTTTTGAACAATCTGTTGTTAACAGTAGTTTCATAAAATAAAATTATTGATTGGTTTGAAGATGCAAAAATTATATAAGCATGGGAGACAAATGATAATGCTATAATTTTAAGTTTGTTGAATTTGTTCAAAAGGAATGAAGAATGTTGGAAAAAAATGGTTTAACCAAGATCATTTGATATAAGGCTGATGACACATTAAATACACCTCCCCATATTAAAAAAAAAAAAAAAAAAAAAAAAAAGGTAAAGAGAAAGAAATAATAAATATTCATGTTCCAAGAAATATTAATGTATTTGTTTTATTTTACTTATTTGTTTTTAAGAGCATGATTTCAAGGCAAAAAACAATTAAATATAATTAAATTCTGAATAAATCTGTTTACTAATGTATTTTGCTCATTAAATTTATTTAAGAATTACTGTATGTAATTTTTTTTCATGCTTCAAGACATTCAATAATGTTAAAAAAGTTTTTGCAGCATTATACAGTTGGCTGGCATATTTAATAATGCCACATCATCAAAGCCACAGCTGGTTTATCAGACCTTTTATTGTATCAAATATTTGTACGAAAATTAACATGTGCAAAGATTGGATTTTGGAATGTATAACTGCTCATTATTCATATTGGATTTTTGTTCATCAGAAATTTTAGAACTTTAATAATATTTGATATTTTATATAAAGATTGTTAGTTTTTAAAATGTAGAACTATATTCAATTCACATAAAACATAGCATAGTCAAAACACAATAAGCTAAGGAAAAATACAATTACAAACCTCTTTGGACAGGCACAGACAAGCACAAGAAAACACATCACACATATTCTGGAATTTCTGTCTTAGTTAGAAGGCTAGATTTCTTTGGTAGAGAGAAAAAGAAGTCATCAGCAAATGGATCATTTTTCTTTGCAAAAATATTTTTCTCACCAGACAGCTGGAGTTTGTTGAAATCATTGTTTGCTTCAAGACATAGTGATTGAGCACGGAGTCTGTGTCCATTAGTTAATAACACATTTGCAATTGATTGCATATTTTCACGACTAATGGCTTCATAGTCTGATGAAGAATCACTTGACAAAGAATGTGATGAGAAAGAATTTCCATTGTGGGGAACTGAAGCTCCTTTTGATAAAGAGGGACGTGGTCTAGGGCGAGAGACACCATTACTAGAGTTAGTTGAATTAGAAAAATTAGTTTGCTTACTCAGGTTATTGTTAGGAGGAGATAAAATGGTGAGTCCATTTTCTCCATTTGTCAAATTGTTTTGTTGAATATTCAAGCCATTTTTTAATGTGAGACCTGTAGGACTACAGTTTTCAGAACTAGTGTAAGTTTGAATGTAATAGTCTGAAGGAATAGGGGATTCAGAATCAAAAGGCAGAGGACTTTTAGAATATGGGCTTCCAACACTTCCATTTGAATAAGACCTATCTTTAGTGAAGTCTGCTTGTCGAGGTGGTATTGGTATAGGAGAACTCGATGTGCTCTGTTGTGATATTAGTTGTGAATGATTTAGATTAGCCATGTTGCAATTAACAGTTAACTGTTGCTGAGCTGTTGCAAGAACAGCAGTAGATGGTGGTGACTTGCCAAGATATGAAACATTATTAATTGTGTTTTGAGGCATTATTTGAACATTAGAAAATGCAGGTTCAGAACTACGACTGGTTAATACTTTTGCAGGATTTACAGATCTACCAGAATGGTCTTGCTTTTCAAATGGATTATGGATCCTTTCACCATTTCCATTAGGTAAAGTTAGTTTAGAATTAGCAGAGAAAGAATTGGGAAGGGATGTAGATAAGGTTGGATTTGCAAATGAGTTTGTTGACATTGATTCGAAGTCTACAGGGAAAGGAACAGAGGGTGAAAGCAGATTCATATCAAAAGCTTTGCTGGAATCTTTGTTTGGATCAACTAAGTCATTTAAAACCTTTTTTGGTGGATTTTTCACGTCTTGAAAAAACTCTGTTTTGTCCTTGTATGGCCTATCTTTACCCAGTGGATCCAATTCTGCAAACACTGACAAATCAGGAGAGGCTGATTTGCTCAAACGTGGTGGTTTTGCTGGAGGTGCTTTCTTTGCCACTTCATCTTCCAAGTCTTTTACATCATTATTAGCTGCTGTGTCTGTTCCAATTGACCCTTCAGATGCTTCAAAGATGCTAGGAGTGGAATCAATTGCATTAAACACTGCATATTTATCACCCACTGTAGACTGGCCGTTAAAAGACTGGTTATTATTATCATTAGCAGGTACAGGGGATGCAAGTGGAATTGGGGTCGGCATTGGAAAAGGCAAGGAATCCTGTTAAAATAAATGGACAAGTAAGAATTAAATTATGAAATAACATAAAACTGTAATTAACGTACTTTGGGTTATATTTTTAGTTAAGACAGATACAGTATATAACTTTTAATACAGTAAAATTTCTGTTTAATGTTTTTTTCCAAATTAAATACAGAACATAAAGCAAACTGGTATATGATATACATACAACAATACTTATAGTAACCATTGTGTTTGCAGACAGGTAGCATGCAAATAAAATGAAAATATGGTTAGTTTATTAAAACAAATTTTTTAATTCTCATTTTGCAAATTTACAGCTTATAACATTTTAGTATGGATAATGTGCATTTTTTTAAATCATATTACAAAATAATATATTATTTTTCGTAGTAAATCTAATAATTTATCATTTTATAAAATTAATTTAATTTTAATATAGCAAACTAAATATGTTTACGAGTAAACTGAATAGAAGATAATTGAAAAAATTAGTCATTGTCAGTAATTAGAAATATGAAATTATTAATGTGTGTAATTTCTGCATTCCAAGATAAGGCAGCTGTAACTGGTGACACAGCAGCTACTTTAATTATAGCTCAAAGCAAAAATGGACACATCCCAACCCCAATTAAGAAAGAGAATTGTAAAGCGTTCATTATTGTACCTGCAATAACTTTATTTAGTTTTCCTGGCTTGTCATTAGATGATTGCCACAAGACAGGAAATTTAAGTCTTGGAATATTTTCATGCATGGTTTAACATATCAGACAAATGAGATTATTTCAGATCTTTCCAAAGAGAATCTCAGGCTGTACATAACAAGGAAGAGTGAGAGTACTGAAACATTAATGACTATTCTGGAATTAAAGATGATGAAGAAAAGTCATACAGATTATTGCAAACTACAACATAAACATCATGACATCATAGGTGAGTTCCTCTACAAACTTGAGATTGGCCATAAAAATTGCTACACCAGCAGGAATAAAACATAATGCACCTAATAGGTTTATTTTACAAATTTCTTAAAGATGTAATAATAGAAATTTCAAGTGTGTTGAAATAACAGAATGTGCTATGATCAGTGCCACGTGTGTCTACCTGGCATGGTATAGAGACAAAGAGGCTTTGGATGGCATTTTGGGGATACTGCTGTCAAGGCAACTTTAATTTGTTGCCAGAGTTACTCAATTTGTGGATACATTAAACAGCAAAACACTCACTACAAAGAAATCTGTTGCAAGACAATCCAACCTTTCTTTCTTTTTTTTTTTTTTTTTTTTTTTTTTTGTGAAATCCAGTGGAAAATGACAAGAATACAGAAATTCACACTGCTGATAAACTGCCCTAGCAGTAATATACCATAGTTAAATATATTTTGTTTATTTTAATATTGTTTCATGTAATCATAATAAAGCCATTTGTTTAAAAAATGTTCAAAACTGAGGAAGATTCAGCTTCTAGTGAAAAGCTACATATGTAAAATATAAGATCGGTTAAATTCCTGCAAAAATTAATGGAATACAGAAATAACTACTTTTCACAATACAGAAAACAAAAAACACTCAGGCATCACTTGTACTTCAGCACAAGCAATTTTATACAGAAATCTTGATATGGGATAGATACCAGATTTCTTTGGTTTAATATGTCTTCTGCTATTTTTACATCATTCCACGTATCTTCCAAATCAAAGATACCACTAAAGTATTCCAGATTTTAAAACAAAAAATAATGTATATACTAGAGAAAACCTATTGCTGATATCCTAAAATTTGGCTTTGAAATGTGCTTCCATAATACTCTGGCAACTGTTTCTGTGAAGCCCAATGTACTACTTACTATGAAAAGTCAGCACATATCACTTTGTTACAAAAAAATATATGCAGCCAGAAGGAAGAAAAACTACTATCAGGAAATTTTAACACGTATGTAGTATATGAGGAGATAAACAAATGATTAGAAATTCAGAAAAAAAGATCGTTTTATTAAAAAGTTATGGCATGAAATGAATAAAGTTATAAATCAGTAAGTAGTAGAGCCACCTTTGACAGCTATACAAGACAAAACACGGTGTGGCATCAAATCAAGTAGGTCACCTATGACCTACTGCACAAGATCATGCCATGATCTTTGCAACTGAAGCAGTTAATTCACCGAAATTCTGGGATGGCTGCAGTTGCCTTCCAATTGTTGGTGAAAGTTCTGGTGGCCTGGCAGGTTACAGGAGTAAGTTATATCCTTGAAGCCATTATTGGGAGAGTCGTGCAGTATGAAGAGAAGCATTATTTTGCTGATAAATGGCACCTGGGCGACTTGATAGCATAGGCAGTACAACCAGTGATAAAATGTTATCCAAGTAACTGCCATAGTGCCTTGAAGGATGACTAGAGGTGATAGTGTGTCCCAACAAATTGCTCCTTGCACTGTCACACTTTATGTAATTACTGTGCGCCGCTTAACAACAAATGCCAGATCAGGCCACTGGCCTTGCTGATTCCACATGCATCATCTTCACTAAGAGTGAATTGGGATTCATCGCTAAAGATCACACACCTCCATCTACACTCCAGCTTACTCGAGTTTGACAAAAATCCAATCGACACTGCATTATGATATAGGGTCAATGGTAGGGCATCTTAATGGACACTAACACCATTAAACAGCATTGACTAATTATCTCCAAAAGGTTTTTTTTCAATACCACAGGTAGTTAAATGGCATCAAATTGATGCTAGCGACGTTGTTGGTGTGGAAGTGGCTGCTCTTATGATGCACAATCCTCACATTCATTTGTGTTCCTGGGACATCCTGACCCTTTGCGATGGCAAACTATCCCTTCTGTCATCCATTGTCACCAACACCGAGCAACAACCACATCGCTCTGGCAACTGTTTATACAGTCGCTGGTTATGTCTCAAAGATATCTCTAGTCAAAATACCATCAATTCAAGTTAACAGCCCTATGACATGAGCAGTCATGCTTTTAAACACTTCTAGCTGCATATCTCATATGTGCATAGGACGCTTCCTTATCTTACTAGCGTCGAAATGTAAATCATTTGCATGTCTCTTATCAGACTACATTTCTGATGAGTTTAGTGACTGTGGTTCGATTTCTTTTGGATACATATATTTTTTGAGACAGAGCATACATATATTTTTTTACTATACTAAGGTCTATACCAGGGTTTGCCAAACTTTATGACAGTAAGAGCCGCACGTTTGAATTCAGGAATGTTCGAGAGCTGCATCTAAATTTTCTAAAAGCCACAAGTTGATAGATACATCATTATAGAAGTAGTGGAGGAGGTTTTAAATAGAAGAAATTCCTAATAACTTTGTAAAATGAGTCTAAACTAATTAATTACTTCTTTATGGACACTGAATAGTTTTAGTTTATCATATTTCATACATATATTTTGTATGCATGAGCCACACAAATTGCCTGTGAGAGCCATATCAGGCTCATGAGCCACACTTTGGCCACCCCTGGTCTATACTAAGATCTTGTGACTATTTAAAATGGTATGTGGTGATAGTTTTGTGATAGAATTTAAAATGATATACAGCTGTTTAATAATTAACTGCAAATGATGAACTCACTCTTTTAGGTCCAAGAACAAATGATGTGTCAAAAGGATCATTTTCAGGCATCGAGATATCTGAATTAAAAGCTGCAACTGCTGCAATACTAGAATCCATTTGATTTATACCCTATAAATTAAAAAAAAAAAGAATACATTTATTTACAAAAAAATTAGGTATACTTTAAAATGAATTATCTCTTATTGAGTGCGGGAAATTTTGATTATATATATCAGACAATGCGAGCTTTCCAAGCTGCAAGGTACTTGAATATTGCTAAACTTTAAACTAAAGGAAAACTAACATTTTTATAATTTAAATGCAAAAAATTTGTTTATATAAATTAAAATTTTATGTATTGTTAGCATAAACTATTTATGAATGCACAAATTAGAATATATATAAAATACTTAAATAACAAAAATTAGGATAAACTGAAATAAAACATGTAAGTATTTTGAGAGTTTTAAAATTTAACTTTAAATCAAAAAGTAGAGATTTTTTCTTTAAATCATCAAATACTCTTTATTTCAAAAACAGTATGTAATGAAATATTAAAAATTTCCAAATGCTGATAGCAATTTTTCAATAAATGCGCTGACTAAGATTATTCAAAATTACTGCAAAGGTTACCTTTAGCTCTTGTCTCCTTTTCCAGTTAGTATTAAAATTTTGGGCAACATAAATTAACACTATTTTTTAGCAAAATATAGTATTTAATGTGATGGGCACATGAATTTGAAAATGTATATCCATAACTCATATGTAATTCTATTTTATCATCTTCTTCCAAAATTTTGCTTTTTTCCCCATAAGTCACAAATATACTTTTTTTGCCAGTACACTTTTTCACATTTTTCAGTACTCTGAAAGGCAGTTTAATATTTTCACTAGTTTTCAATTTTTCTTCTATGCCTACTAAAATCAATGGAATATATAAATTTTATAGCAAAGAATGTATGAAAAGTGTTTATATTAATTAAAAGAGAAACAAAAATATTTTTCTAGATCATTAACTATTAAACTTCTAAAATCATCGAAATAAATATACTTCTAAGAGTTGCTTAGTAGTAAATTTAATGTCAAATTAAAAGGCAACTACAGTGCAAAGTCTTTAATCCGGACTCATCGAGACTTCAGCGATTCCGGATTAGGGGTTTTCCCAGATTATAGATCATCAATTTAAATCTGGTAAGATGGCATGCAGGAATTATAAAATTAAAAATATGAAACCATAATTTATGAAATAAAGAGCAATTATGATCTAAAGGGTATCAAAATTAAAAAATAAATAAAAAAAGCCCTTAATATTTATTTGTTTCCTTTATTAAACATTCTTCAATGTAAGGGTTAAGTGCTTCATTTTATGTGCTAATACTTTCTCTTTATTCTATAAACTGTGTAATTTCTTGTTCATTACAATTCCACTGTTCAAATCCTGTAATTGCTGTGCGAGAATACCGACTAACTTGTCAATCGAAATTTTTGTTTTCACTAACTCTCTGTCACTTATTTGCCTTTACCCATTTTTCACAGCAATTCCACTTTTTGTTGATGGACATCGAAACATGCTTTCGCTTTGTAGATCCTTTCGCAGCTCCAGAAATCAAACTCTTTGAATAATCGAAAGTTCACTTACTTTATAAAATTGCTCTAACAGTCTAAAATTGCAGAAAATAATAAACCAGATTAAGAAACAATGCAATCTGCAACATTAACTAAAATAGATAATTAGATCATTTTAGCCTAGCTTATACCGTCCGTTATACGTTAAGTGTGCATGCGTAAAGATATTATGCATGCGTAAATGCATTATGTGTTTACGCATGCGCAGAAAGTTTGTAGCTTTGAGGTCCGGATTATAGATCATTCCGGATTATGGACGTCCGGATTAAAGACTTTGTATTGTATTGCTTTAAAAATTCTAACTGCTTTTCTGACCAGCGGAAAAACATCCTACACATGGTAAAAAGTATGCAAAAATAATATTTTGTATTATAATGGATCAATAAATGACTCTTTAACATACTGGGCATGGTGCCTATATTGTTGTTCTTTCCGTTCAGATGGCAGTGAGCAAGCATGGGGAAGAATGAACAAAGGGACTACTTTGTTTCACCTTCTTATTTTCCTTTTGGATTGAAGCAATAGTGCAGTCAATGCATATGTATACGAATGGCAAAAATGTGACTGCCTAAAGACAATTATTTAGAAAAATTCCATGGAAGTATAGAGACGATTTGAAAGTAGAAAATTTTGGGTTTTTTTTTTTTTTTTTTTTTTTAAGTATTTAATGTGCATAAGACCTACAACATTTGGAAAAGAAGATGGTGATATGTCAAGCAAATTATTTTATCATCCAAATTGCTGAGCATTGTCTCTGTTGGAAGATAATTCATTACATCAGGCAATAAAACTTCACAATGACAGTTCTGGCATAAGTGCTGATGAAACAAGTGAATGGTTTGATTCTAAAGGCAATATCGTGCATTTTAAACATGCCTCATCAGCTAAAAAAGGTAATCAAAAATAAATTTAGTAAATTTCATTGAAATTACTACATTTATATTTTAACTTTGACACTGTTGGCCCCTAGGAGCGGAACAAAAGGTTTACTGTTGGTCCCAAGGGACTGATGCCAGCCAAGTGGATATTTCACTGTTAACCAACACCATGCTCAACGTGTTAAAAACTGAATTCATGTTTGCAGTGTCTGAAAGTACATTATATATCCTTCCTGCATTCTAAAATTATCTGCAATAAAATCATATATATATATTACCTCTTGTAATTTAGTCATTTCGTTCTGTAAACCCAAAAGGTCATCTACAGTTCTCATAGGCTCTTCAGCTTTTTCTGCTGTTATTTCCTCTTCTTTCAATTTTAAAGGCTCTGTTAATAGAACCTCCTAAAAAAAAAAATATAATTTCAAGTTTCACTCATAAGCACTTAAATCTATCATATACTTTAAAGCTATATATTATTTATTGAGTATATAAAAATTCTTACAAAATATATATTCTCATCCTTAGGTTTTTGTTCTTCTGGTGTTTTGGTCTGTATTTCTAATTCTGTTCTGTCCGTGCTCTATAAATAAATAATATAAAATGAAAAATACAGTAAAAGTTGTTTTGAATTTAGATGTTAGAAACTACTGAATAGGTTTTTCTTCCCTAAAAGAAATATTAAAAATTTAATTTTCTGGGAAAAGCCTTTAATGCAGGCCTCTGTATATCACTGATTCAATTATGTTTAGATCATAACTAGTTTAACATTTTTTCATTATTATTTAAGTAAAAAATATATTTCATCCTTTTGAACACATTAATTTCATTCAGTTTATTATATGTTGTATAAAATGTAATATAATATATATTTTAAAATATGGTCTTTTTTACTTACAGATTATCAACCTTAATGAAATTACAAACATCTATCAGTTTAATAATTAAGTACATGAATAAAATGTAAAATTAAGTAATTTAGGCTTCTCTCCACCACTGAAAATTTTTCTTCTAAATTCCCCCCCCCCCTATATGCGACAGAAACTTCCCAATCCTGTGTTAAATCTCTTAAAACGTATAGTAACTTAATGCAACAACTCACCAAAGAGAATGTGAGATAATGGCCAAAGTCAAACTTTTTTTAAAAAAACACTTTCTCTTTTTTAGCTTTATATTTTTGAAACTTATAATTCATATATATATATATTTAAATACTGCAGAAGATTTTGGCTTTGATAACGAGTCAAGGGATATGCACTATTTTTTTTTCAAATATTCAGCATTATACAATTACACTCATGCGCAAAATTCTGAAAATTTCCATATTATGGTAAAATTCTGAAAAACTAATGGGCAGATTTTAATGAAGTTTAGTATGAATATACATTTATAAAGAGGAAGAGATGTACCATTCAAAGGTCATTTTATGAATGCATGATTATCAGTAAAGCTTGTAATGCAAGGATGTCCAAAATCCACACTGTGATATTGAATTGAAAACGAGTCTCATATGGGATTTGGTCTCCTCTCACAGACAGACAGGTCATGCAGCATGATAGCATACTGGACAGAAGAGACACTTGTAGTTGATCCTACTCCTAGAGCAAGGCAGTCTTCAACTTTCGGATGGTTCTCGAAGGAGGATAACAAAATTAAACTGTCCTTCCAAGAGCAACCCAGAGATGCTCTTTATGGTTAACATCTGGCAATCCAATTCGTGCAGCAAATACCTTCACTTTTCAGGTAATCGTTGACCAGCTGAGCACTACGTGGACGAGCATTGTCATCCATTAACAGGAGCCCAGAACCCTGAAAAGTGAGCATGGGACTCTACGATTTCCTCTCTATACCTCATAATTGTCAGGGAGCCTTTGTTTGTGCTGGTGTGTGGCCACCCAACATAATGCTTAACCAAACCATTACACCTCCACCTCCACTGATCCTTTTCCCTGATGAGGAAGAGATTGTTATTTGTTCCAGGCTCTCTACAAATACAGGTACACCGTGTCCAGGCTGAATCTTCACTCAGCTGTAAAAAAGCATAATATTCCACTGAAGTATGGTATAACTGTACAATCTTAAGTGCACTCTCTTGTGCTGCAATGAGCAGAATAAAAATAGCAGGTCTGGCATGCAGCCCTATCTCAAGAAGCCTTCGAGCAACTATAGACCATGGAATTGTGGTTACGGTGTCAGTATCCAGCTCATATGAGAGCTGTGAAGCTGCAGCAGTCTTGTGTTGCTGCACTGAAATTGCGCTGAAAGTTCCAGACTCTCTCCAGATATAGATATGCTGAGAATCAGTGTCTAGGCTGAAGCTTGACTTATCTGTAAAAATCATGATGCTCCTCCACTGAAGTCTGATCTAATGCATTTTGTCTGCACCATGCTAAACACGCTCTCTTGTATGCTACAGTGAGCTAGATGCAAACTCCGGGTCTTCTGACATACAGCTGTATCTCATGAAGCTTTAAGGTAAGTATAAACTGTGAAACTCGGATTCCAGTGACAACATATAGCTCATGTGAGATCTGTGAGGTTGTAGTAGTTCTGTGTCATCATACTGAAAATGCCTAATAATTATTCTCATTCATCATAGTGGATCTTGGTCAATTTGTCCAGGTCTTCTATACCTGGAGCCAGTGTCCTGAAACTGTTTCCATTGATTGCAAATACACTGGGCATTACATTTAGCTCTGTAGCCACCTGTGCTTATGACTGGCCAGCTTCTAAACAATACTCCATCTCATTATGTCATCCATATATTCATAGCTACTCATTTTACTTGACACTTTATAAAACTTACCCAAGTTTTGTGAGAAACACTGCTAATGTTGTGAAGGAGTACATACACAAAACCCTCATTCACTTATATCCCCTCCATAATCACAGCTCTGCAGACACTTGCACATTTGCTTAAGTACTTGACTTAAGTGAATATTTGGATAATTCTTTGGCAGCATGATTAGTACCTTTGGTTGAACTCTTCTTGTAAAAATAGACATAATTTGCAAGTTCTCTTAATTTTGTATACAGGTCTGCATACAATATATAAACATGCCATTGCAATATTTTTGAATGAAGAATAAAAAATGTATTTTTTAATGAAGCATCACTTAGCATGTTTTCCAACACTTTTGATGTAATCCAGTGATTTAAAAACCATTTCTGAACATTATTTATATCCTATTTCATTTAAATTATTAAAACATATTCACTCACTTCAACATCTTTTGATTCTGGCCTTTTTTCAGTTTTTGATAAATCGCTCTTATTTTCTTTAGCAACTATTTGTTCTTGTTTGGTATTCAGTACTGTCTGGAACAGATCTCTTAGAGCCAAAACAACATGGAATGCCTAACAGGAAAAGAAAAATAAAGTCATATTTTACTAAATTTATTAATTACTTTTTAATGCGGGATTAGTATAGTGGCTACGAAATTAGTACATAATTTATATTCACTCTCGGTAATCTACCTAAATATTTCTTTATCATTATTATTATAATTTTATAGTCATTTACTACATTATTATTGTGATGTCCAAAATAATGCTTAAGGAAAACAGAAGAAAGGATGCTGGGATATTTCCTATCAATTTTAGTAAAAACCTCAGTGGCAAAAAAAAGTAAACAAAATCAGTAATAGTTAATAAATAACAGCATTAAATTTTATACTATTAGTTTAAATCACTTAAATAAATGTCCCCTGAAAAAAATCATTGTTACATTAAAAAATTTTTTGGCTCTTTTTAAATAGAACACTTAGAACCATGTTGAAAATTAATCAAATTTTCCCAAAATAATAATATCTCAAATTAAAATGATATCCAAAATTATATTTGCTTGCACAAAAATACTGGTTTCTTAAAAAGTTATTGCATAAAATTTTTATTTGGAGTGGTGGTATAAAAACACATAAATGCAAATTGAAAAACAATTATGAATGCATAACACACAAAATTATGTCATGAAACAAAATTGAAATACTGTGTGACAATGAAAGTTTTGAAAAAGTAAATACTATTTCAGAAACATTGACATTAATAGGTATGTGATATCTTTTAAGACAT